GTTTAACACCTTCCCCTTCACTCTGCCTCTCTCACAGCGTGCAAGTGGGCTGTTATGGCATACGGGGATGGGGGCAGCTCGCGCTCAACTTCATCCACGTGGCGAGCCTTGCACGTGAGAGGCACAGTGGAGGTGGAGTTCAAAGAAGAATGAGAAATTTAATGGTTTCAATCTGCCCTTGTTTTTTCTTTTTTTTTTTCTTTTTTTTTTTTATTTTTGCATGTTATCACTGTGCCCGTTTTTTGCTTTTTTTCTTTGTTCCGCAAAGTGCGCTCTTTTAGTTTGTAGTGATGTGACAATATATGTCATCCTTTCTCATCTTTGTTCTACACTCCTTATGTTTCCTTCCTTTGCCTTTGTTGTCCTTCGCTTTGTCTTCTCTCCATCTCTTCAATGTCTTTGTCCCCTCCCCCTTTAGTCTGCCTCTTTCTCTCACCGTACAAGTGAGCCGTTATGGAATAACGAGGATGAGGGCAGCTCACGATCAGCTTGATCAATGTGGCGAGCTTGTACGTGAGAGGCACTGTACAGGGGGAGTTCAAAAGAAGAATGACAAAAATGAATGGTTTCAGTGTGCTCTTTATGCTTCCCTTGTGTTATTTTATCGTTTTTTTCGCAAATTGCACTCTTTTCGTTCATACTATTCTATACAGATATGTGACAATATATATATATGTATTTGAATGACAGTCCAGCCTTCAGATAACTCGGTGAAACTACAACAACGATGTTGTTTCACATCCACCTTCAGTCATATGCTGTGCCTCCAGTGGCAGTGGTGTGTCTGAGTGTATTTTCTGGCAGCGACAGATCTTTCTTGGTTCGTGGGGGCCTTGCTGGCGTAAGGCGGGGTGGGAACTTGCAGTCTATAGAGTCCTCCGTCTGGTGTGGGTGGGTGATATTCTGCTTTTGATCGGCATGGGTGCCCTTTAGGGTTTAGTGGGGCAACAAACCGCATGAGTACCCTCAAGGGGTACCATCTGCGATTAATTGCCCAACTTGAAAGATAGTGGGGCAACTAACCCTCTTGAAAGATAGTGGGGCAACTAACCCACTTGAAAGATAGTGGGGCAACTAACCCACTTGAAAGATAGTGGGGCAACTAACCCACTTGAAAGATAAGTGGGGCAACTAACCCACTTGAAAGATAGTGGGGCAACTAACCCACTTGAAAGATAGTGGGGCAACTAACCCGCTTGGCAACTAACATGATCGGTGGGGTATAGTGGGCGACCCCACACTTAGTTGCACAGCCTGAAAGATAGCGGCATTGACTGCGGCGGGTGGTCGGGGATGCTTTTAGCCGCAAGTGGGGGACTTCACAGTATCATCGGTTAGGCAAGTCTGCAGATTGTAAAGGGTTTGGCCTCCAGATGAGTCAGTGACACTCTGATCTCAACAGTCTGTCACAGCCCCTCGCTAGCTGTTCTCTTCTATCTCGCACCTACTTTGCACGTGTCGATTCTCTATGACTATATAAATATATATATCATCGTGGAGAACTGCCCGGTAAACCGCTGGCAGAGAGCGAGAAGAACCTTGTACGTGAGAGTCGCAGCGAAGGGGGAGCTAAATGACGAAACGATCAGAAGGATGGTTTAGATGTGCCCTTCATGTTTGTCTCCTGTTATTTTGTCATTCATTTTGCAAAGTGCTCGAAAGAGGCATAGTACCAAATACCCTGTCTGACGGTTTCTTCAAGAAAGAGAACGTTCAGTTGGTAACCCCCTTAAACCTCCTTAAACCACCAGTACATCCAGCTATCGGCCGCGAACCGTTTTTGGAGTCCAGCCGCCGCCGATTCGATTTATCTATACGGCGCTGGGCCTCCAAAAATTTTGTAGGCGACGATTTTTCTTCTCAGCAAGGCTGGGGTCGTGCACTGGCGGTTTAACTGTTGTAATTGAGACCAGAAGTTCAAACTCCATTGGAAGCAGATGAGTGAAATACAAATACTACAATTTCGAGTTTACCTTGGGCCGGTCAGTTCGATGATAATATCTCGAGGCTGGCCCCCTTTTTGAAAGAAAAAGAAAAGAACAAAGTACTTGAAAGTTGAAAGAGGATATAAATAAAAATAGAAAAAAGCATGATACCTTTTGTTTTTTGGGGGGGGGGAAAGAAAGGCAAGAGGAAAGGCAAGAGCCCTTACATAGCATTTCTGAAGGGCTGGCAGGAGCTCCGATGAGAAGAGATGAGAAGTGACGGTACTCGAAACTGTGGTACCAGATGGCACTGGGATGTCGTGGTAGGTCATCTGTTAAGCAAATGTCAGACGGTGGGAACACAGAAAATACAAAAGCAAACGACACAAATCGAACACGGGAGTACAGGAAAACTCAGAATTTTAAGAAAGAAGAAATGCGAGGGGGAAAAAACAAAGGACAGAAGGGTGGTATAAACAAAGCTGTTATAGATATTACCTCCAGAGATGACCAGTTGTGAAACTTTAACCGTCTATATGTCGCGCAGGCAAACTTAAAGTACCAGTACACCACACATTGGCCCGCGGGTGTCAGCACGAAACCCGAAGCACTTCGAAGGCCGTCAATTGTTTTTTTCAACGGACCCCCACGCCGCATGGCCCCTCCCAGTTTTGCTTGTGGTGACAAAAAAATTATGCAAGGCGGGGGCCGTGTACTCGCGGTTTAAGAATTGAAATCGTGTCGATCGAAAATCTTGGGGGCAGGGACTACTGGACCAAAATGACAGGCAGCACTTCGCTGGCGAAAGAAAGGAAGAAGTGCTTTGCTTCGCTGGCGTTTCCGCAAAGCTTGGCATATGCAGTGGGCGCAAAAAGAGGCCTCAATGTACTGGTGGTCTAAAGAAAAGCTAAGAAAAATCCAACTGCGCAAAAAGAGGCCTAAAGAAGGGAAACAAATACACATACACACACCCAAACACATAATCTACTGAGTGATGAATTCGTGAACGTCCGATAAAACAGTCGGCGGGCTTAGTCAGGCTTTGTTTGTGGAATTGTGTATAGTGAAGGGAACATGACAACACACACACGAGCGGTTTTTGTATCGGTGACGATTTCGTTTGTTGGACTTACTGCCATTCTTGTCAGTGTTTTGGACAGACAATCTGATAGGGTTGGTGTGAGTATAGTTTTTCCAACTTTTCTACGGTGTAGCGGTTTAAACCACCAGTACCACCACATCTCTATAGAAACAGGACCCCGTGTTTTGACGAAAACACGTGGAAGTGGGGTTCAAAAGCCAGCCATTTTGGTCTGCTACCAGAACCCTGAAAAATGCGGGGCCGTAAACAAGACGCATATTTGTTTGTCAAGAGGGGAAATGTACTGGCGGTTTAAATACGGTTGGTGTGGTGTATAGCGAATACGACAATACACACACACACACACACACACACACACACACACACACACACACACACACACACATTGGCTGGTCTCATGTGCCATTCTCGAGGACTCTCCTCCGGTGATATGAGCATTTGGAATACTGTGAAGTTTCGTCACATCTCTGTCCTGTCCTTTGCACTCCAATTCCTCCCCTACCCTTTCTCCATCTACAGCCCCTCGCTTCCTATAGAACTCCGCTTCCTAACTCTTTCTCGTTACACTCCCCTTTATGTGCTACGAAACCACCAGTACCTTTCCCATATGTCGGCCGCGGGCACTGCACGCCACCTCAAAAATCAAGACTGGCTGACAATTCGATTTATCGGCGGCCGCCCTTCCGTTTCAGGCCAGTGCGCTACCTGGCGCACCTCTGAAAAAATAGCTGGGAAAGGTACTGGTGGTTGAAGAGAACCGACAAACTGTAAGCTGAAGATCTGGATTGAAATGAACAGGAGTAAACCTCCCCCTTTACTCTTGCCTTTTTTCATACCGTGCAAGTGGGCTGTTAAGGCACATGGGGAAGTGGCCTGCTGCCGCTCAACCACAATCAATGTGGGCAGCTTTGTACGTGCGAGGCACAGTAAATGGGGAGCTGCAAGAACAAATGGAACGGGGGTACCCCAGGGATAACCCGAAAACTGTGGAATTCACTTAATTGTAAAAATTGCTTGAACCACCAGTGCATTTCTCAGCTATCAATGCCGAGGCTAAAACTGCTCTGCGCGCCGAAAAAAAAGTTGAACCGGTGCGAGCCTCATTCTGGCTGGCGCCAGCAGCCATTTTCAGCTGTTAATTCCCGAGCCTGCGCTCCCCCGTGTTAACGGGCTGTCATTTCTTTTTCAAACAGGGAATGGTATCGGTTGTTTAAATGTTGGACTCCCGTCTCAAGTCAAGTGCTCTCATGGTCTGCAATAGGTGGGGGCGAAAGCTGCTTCGATTCTGAATCTATTCATAGGGGTGGAAATAGGGCTGTTGGGGGGAAAATTTCAAACACCCACCCACCAACACACACACACACACACACACACACACACACAAACTTGAAAGTGCAATCAATTAGCAACCAGTCTCGTGCTGTGTCGTTCGTTGTTTTTTTCCCTTTTTTAGCAAGTTCATACAGATATGCACACAAACTTACTGGCTTGCTAATTTGCTAACTCGCTGTTTTTTTTTTTTTTTTTTTTTTTTTTTTTTTTTTTTTTTTGTTGAAGTCGCAGTAGTTCGGTGACTTGACTTGTTTTGAGAATTTTTGACACACTCCATGCATTCATTCATTCGTCCTGGATATATTCATTGCAGATAAGGTTGCGTTAATGTGTTTACCCTGCACCCGAGCAGAAGATCTGGTCGTTATCGCTGTATCTAGACTGGCAGTTGGCGAAAATGCAGTTGTAATACCTGTGTGATCGATCTCGTCGTTTTTCTCAGTTACTGTACTTGCTTTGACACATGCTATGCAGTCATCCATTCATCCTGGACGTGTCCATCGCACATAAGGATGCCCTAATGTTTACCTTGCCTATTATGGTCTTCTCCCAAGCGGAACCTGCGGTCATTATCGATATATGTAAACCAAAAATTGTCAAAAATGCATTTATGAATTATAAGGTATGCGATCATTCTCGATGTATCTCCCAACCGGAAGAAGGTAGTTGTCAATATTCTCTTAGGAATGCCACCACACAAACACGAAGCAGACAATTAGTTGGTTTTGGTTGAAGTGCGGAATGGTGTCGATGTATTCTAAAGATTGGCTCTACAGTTCTATGGGCCCTTTCTCTCTCTCTCTCTCTCTCTCTCTCTCTCTCTCTCTCTCTCTCTCTCTCTCTCTCTCTCTCTCTCTCTGTGCCAGCGCAGCCGCATCCGGCGCTGCTTCCGCCCCATGCTCACGCCTGCGGCCGGCCTGTTGCATCGTCTCTCTCTCTCTCTCTCTGTCAGCGCAGACACACCCGGCGCTGCTTCCACCCCATGCCCACGCCTGCGGCCGGCCTGTTGCATCGTCTCTCTCTCTCTCTCTCTCTCTCTCTCTCTCTCTCTCTCTCTCTCTCTCTCTCGCACAAACACATCTGCAAGCTAACCAGTCCCCTGTGAATTCAGCCCAGTAAATTCGGAGTTGTTGTCTGGGTATGTGTTTTTTTTTTTCCGTCTTTTCTCGACGAACAGTATATCTGATGCAGTCCATGTGCAGCAAGTGGGCTTTTATAGGAGACGGTGGAGTGGGGGCTTAGCTTAACCAGGCATGCACTTCCACGAAAACAGGATAAAAAAAGGAGGGGAACTGAAAAAGAGAAAAATGAACCCGATTCAACGTGGCTATCCCTTCTTCTTGCCTTCTGTCCCTTTTTGTTTTGTTCCCCCCCCCAAGCAAACAATTTTTAAGTGACTGTCCCTTCTTTTTGCCTTTTGTCCCTCTTTGTTTTTTTTTCCAAATCTATGTACAAGTTACTATAACATTTCTAGATTCATAAGAAAACAGAAAAGAGAGAGAATTCTGATACCTGTGATAGAAGCTGCAGGTTCACGCCCAGCTCGGCGCCTAAAGCAGCAGCGGAATCGTCTCCAGGCGTGACAGTCACACCGCAGGCCTTTCAAGATTTGGGACACAACAAACATCAAATGATTAGACGGCGATAGACGATGAGTGTGTCGGTTGGAGGGGGGAGGGGGAGGAGCGGGAGGAGGGGGCATTGTATGTGTGTAAGAGTCTGTGGGAAGATGTAGAAAATTAGAAATACAGTGTGCAACAGAGCCATAGCAAAGATTTGTGTTTTTTTCTCTTTTCGTTTTTTTAATAGCGAGGATTTCGCACTTTTTATTTAATAGCAAAGATTTCTCGCCTTTTTTTTTTTTTTTTTTTTTTTTTGTGCAACAGAACAATAGGAAAGATTTATTTGACTTATTTTTATTTTTTTTAATAGTTAAGATTATTGTTTCTTTTTTTTATAGAAAAGATTTCTCAGTTCGTTTTTTTTTTCTTTTCTTTTTGCATTGTAGCTAGTAACCTGGTTGTTTCCATCTGATTCTGTCGGGATCTGAAGTCGTTATTATACTATGAATGTTGCTTTCAGGTCTTCATTGTTGTATTATTACGTTATTAGCTAGGCTACCAGAGTGGCCCGGGTCCACTTGCCCGGCCGGGCCAAAAAGATATATAATATATTGTCACAGCCCCTCGTTTGTTGTCCTTTTCTCTCTCCTTGCCAACGGTTTACCGGGCAGTTCTTTTTGTGAAGATATAGGCGGCCATGCTGTGCCACTAGTGCCAGCGGCGTGTCTGGAGTGTATTTTTTGGCTGTGACAGACCTTTCTTTGTTTCGTGGATGTTTTGCTGGCTTGTGATGGGGTGTGAAC